CTTCTTGATCGCCGCCGCCGCTTCGTCCTTGCTCGTCAGGAGTTGCAGCCACAGGTAGCGACTGCAATCAACCACGAGCAGGAGGAAGTACCGCCGACCACCGTTTGTAGCAGGCGTGATCGGCCCGCAAAGGTCGCCGTGGACGAGCTCGAGAGCGTCCTTCGTGCGATACTTGGTCGCCTTTGGGAATGGTAGCCTCCTCTGCTTCCCGGCTAGGCGGCTGTCACACAGCACGCCTCCATGCTTGATGTGGGGTAGCCCTCGGACCATCTTCTCCAGCCGACCAAGCGCGTCGAAGCTGAGATGTCCGAACCGAGCATGCCACATCTATGGTTCCTCGGAGTGCCTTGCCGCACACCGGCTGCTCTACCTTCAGGTCGAGCAGGTACAACCAGTTCAGGGACTTCTTCACCTTGGCAAGAAGTCACTGCTCCCGGTCCCTGATCCTAAGGACTCCATCCTTGATCAGTACCTCGCTACCGCGCTCATCCAGCTGACCAATGATGATGATGCTGGAACGCAGCGATGCTGGAACGCAGCTGCGGGATGTAATATACATCCGTTAGCGCGCGATGCTCCCCGTTCTGGCACCTGAAGATGATGGTGCCGCGCCCTTGGATTGCCACCCGTGAGCCGTCACCAAAGTTCACCGTACCGGTAACATCGTCGTTGAGCTCGAAGAAGGATTCCTTGGAGACTGTCATGTGGTTGCTGGCACCAGAGTCCAGATACCACCGATGCTCCTGGTCGGCGCCCACACATCCGAGGTGGACTTGGGCACGTGGTTCATCGAGGTTGACAGTCTTTAGGGCCTTCCTAGGTCCTTCTACCGTCGTCGCATCTTCCCTCTCCTAGGCCTCGACGTTGTGCAGTGTACAGAACGTCGCCATCAGGATAGTGGCCTCATCCTCATCATTGGCTTACGCCAGATGAGCCTGAGCCTTCTTTTCCTGCTTGCGGTTTGGGCACTCTCGTGCCCAATGGCACATCTTCCCATAGCGCCGACAGGCGTTGGGGTCGACCTGCTTCTTCTTCTCCGAAGAAGCCTTGCCGCGGCGCTTGCCATCGTCACCGCGGCTGGAGGAGACCGCCCTCCTGGAGTTCCTCCGAGCAGCCCACTCCTCTTGCATTAGCAGCAGTTTGCCGTTGTCCTTCGTTGTTGTTGCCTGCTCCAAGCGCTCGTCCACCGTCCAAAGATGGCCTGTCACATCCTCAATGGTGAGGGTGGACAAGTCCAGCATCATCTCTATGGAGAGAGCGATCTGGATGTACTTTGCCGGCACTGAGTGGAGGTACGTGGAGACTGCCTCTTTTTCGTTGATGGTGACGCTGTGGCTCTTCAGCTTGCTGATGAGCGTATGGAGGTGGAGTGAGAAGTCCTCCATCGTTTCACCATCCTTGAACTTGAGGTTGGCATACTCCTGCTTCAGAAGCTGGGTCGTCGCCTTCTTTGCGCAGTCCGAACCGACGCGCATCGCCGCAATAGCCTCCCACACCTCCTTAGCAGAGCTCTTCGTTCCCACTGGCTCCCTGTACTCCATCGGTACAGCAGCGAGGGTAGCCTCCAACGCTGACATATCATCTTTTTCATTGTCGGTGCCCTTGTCAACAGCATTCCAGAGCCGTCGGGCTCTGAGCTTGACCTTCATGGTACGGAGATCATTATTGTTAACCAAAACCAAAGCCGAAATGGATTGTTTGATCCTCATCCAAAACATGAAGTGTAGTGTGCGCCGATTATTGCGCAGTACATATCAACAACTAGTTTTAGTCTACTAATAATAAGAATACATACAAGAGTGCATTCACGTATCTTGATGATCAGATCACACAAGCAAGCGCTTGTAGACATTTTGTCGCTTGACCAGGCATACCTATGGATGTGAGACGATATATGGGGACTGGCCGGGGTAGCTAGAACGATCCACAAAGAGACATGCGTTTCATATCTCCTGCAACTAAAAAGACTAAAAATAAGACTATTTTTTGGTGCGACTTTTTTTTGGGTCACTTCTCCCTTCCGGCCATGCGATACCCCATGCGATAGAAAAAGAAACTGTCATCCCTGCGATCCCCACCTGCTTTGAAGGAAACAAATCGATCACCTAAGGCCACATGCATGGAAGGAAACAATAATCATGCATGGAAGGAAACAATTGGCAAAGATCAAGGAAGACTCCTCCCTTCCGGCCATGCGATACCCTACGCTATAGAAAAAGAAACTGCCATCCCTGCGATCCCCGCCTGCTTTGAAAGAAACAAATCGATCACCTGAGGCCACATGCATGGAAGGAAACAATTGGCAAAGATCAAGAAGACGACTCAATGAGGTTGGCCCTTAATTTTAATGTTTCCAGCACGCAGACCTGAAATTAAAAAGTGACTGCTCCTTGAGAATATCAGTGGTGCCAAATAAAAGATGTGCAGGTTATACATGGTGAGGCTGGTGAACCTTCTGCAATTTCCTGAACGAATGTTCCCACCATTCGTATATAGGTCCATTCCCCTACGTTTCTTCGTGCTCCATTTAGCATATAATATGAAAGTATTGTTGTGTTCATCACGATTTTCAGTTGACTACTCCCATTAGCATATACTTCCTCTGCCCCAAAATATAAGTCGTTACGGGATGTGTGTAGGTTAAACTTTCTCAACTTTGACTAGGTTTGTAAAAAATACGTGCAACATTTAACAATCAATTGGTCGACTCCTGAGGCCACATGCATGTAAAAAATACCTGTATTATAATTGGTCGAAGTTAAAAAAAAGTTGACTTCTCGGGAAGCGAGAATGAATTCTATTTTGGGACAGAGGGAGTATATGAAAGCAGTGTTGAAAATATTTTAACAATCAAGTTCGTCTCTGTCTGATTGGTAAGCTTAGACATCATAATGGCATCAAAAATTTCGACTCTCATGAACACCCTCATGGATCAGTGCACAGCATCCCAATCCTATAGCATACAGAAATGGCAACCTTAAAGACCATCTTAGATGTTCTGGAATTAGAGTATATACGTGCAGACACATAGGTATGGTGGTGCAAGTGAGCAGCCAGCAGGAGTCGAGAGTTAGGAGGTGTTTGGATCCCAGGACTAAACTTAAGTCCCTGTCACATTGAATTTTTAGATATCAACTAGGAGGACTAAACATGAGCTAATTATAAAACTAATTACATAAGTTGTGACTAATTCACTTGCCAGCGCCGTGTACAGGATGGTATGGAGATGTGGTGGAACTTATTCGTGAATTTATTGACGCACGAAAGAAATGGATATCGGAAATCTCTTCCTGTCGGTATAAAAAATGATCTTAGCCGCATCACGGAAAGATCTATACAGTAGAGTTTGTGAGCCTGCGATGCCATGCTCTCTGTGACTGTATACATTTCACGAACTTAGCCTTTTGGATTAAATATCACTTTAACGTCGGTCATATACTTTTACAATATTGTTATCTTATCGTGCGATCCGTGTGTTTTTAGTATAAAAGTTTAGCTGTCCCGTAGCAACACACGGGTACGAACCTATTTACATATATACTCGAACCTGTGTGTACATGATTATATGGAGATGCAGTGGAACTTATTCATGTATTTATTGACGCATGAAAGAAATTAATATCGTAGAATTCTTTCTGCCGATATAAAATATTATCTTAGCCGTATCACAAAAAAGTCTATACAGTAGAGTTTGTGAGCCTGCGACGTCGCGCTCTCTGTGACTGTGTTAATTTCACGAATTTTACTTTTTGAATTAAATGTCATTTTGATGTCGGTATTTAAATTAACAGTATTGTTATCTTATCGTACGATCCGTGTGTTTTTAGTACAAAAGATTTAGTTCTCCCGTAGCAATGCTAGAGCACGCTGCCTAGTGTCTGTTAAAAATTCAGGGCAATACATGTTCAGAGCCACGAATTAATGCGGCCGGGATTGTCTAGTATGTTTTTTTTTAAAAGGACGGCCGGGATTGTCTAGTATTTTTTTTTGAAAAGGACAGCCGGGATTGTCTTACCATCGATCGAATTCCCACGAAACACACAACACGACAATTCTTTTCAAAAAAAAAACCCCCGACAATTTATTAGGAGCTTGGCAGTTGATCTTTTCCCTAGTTTTCTTGACATATAAACGTAGATGCCGTCGACGACTAGACGATGGAGACGCAGTCTATACATGCACGCTTGGTCAACTTGTTCGGAGCGAGCTAAGCGCGGGTGCTGCCGCTACCTCCTTGGCGTGATATAAGCCCGGGAGACGCGACCAAACCTCTCCAGTAATCCCGCTGTCTGCTCTGCTCCCTCGATCTCCTTCCTCTGCATTCTGTGATTCTGTCGCCTCCGGCCTCCCTCTCCCACTTGATCATCCACCATAAATAGCTCGTGCCGGACGGCCAGCCGTGCAGGTGAAGGTGAAGGTAGCCGCACGTACGGTGCGAAGCTAGCTAGCTAGGAAAGGGCCGGCCGGGACGATCAGGACAGCACGAGGGTGCCGATCGAAGCGATGGGGCGGTCGCCGTGCTGCGACAAGACGAGGGTGAAGCGGGGCCCGTGGTCGCAGGAGGAGGACGCCATCCTCAGGAGCTTCTTCCAGAGGTTCGGCAATGCCGGCAATTGGATCGCCCTGCCGCAGAAAGTAGGTAATAACCTGCACTACAGAAAGTCAGAAACTAGCTTGCCTCGGTTTATTTTCTAGTCTTTTGCTTTTCTCTTTTTTACCACCACCACCAAGAACCATCTATCGCTTTCCGCGTGAATGCAAGCTGCAAACATCAGTGGAGTTGGTGGCGCACGGTACTAGTCAAAGGCTTCAGTTTGGTCCATTTAGGTTTTCTATAAGCTGCGGTTTGGTGGAATAATTCTCTTTGATCTGTGAATCGTCATCTCTGGTTAGGTTGACGAAGCGTAGTTTAACTGACCCTACGTATGCAAGCAAGCTTACGATTGAGATACTCAATTACAGTACTCGTTAATTTGATTATTGTCTCGTACGTACGTCAGGGCTGAAACGATGCGGTAAGAGCTGCCGTCTTCGCTGGCTCAACTACCTCCGCCCGGAGCTCCGACACGGCGGCTTCACCGACGAGGAAGAGAACCTCATCCTGTCCCTCTACGGCGAGCTTGGAAGCAAGTACGCATTCATGCATTACCTATCTATGGGCTAACGTTAAAAACAGACCATGGATGAGATGAGAGGCATGCATGCCTAACATCTAACTGCATGCACAGGTGGTCGGTGATAGCGTCCAGGCTCCCCGGACGGACGGACAACGACGTCAAGAACTACTGGAACACCAAGCTCAAGAAGAGGTACCTGGCGTCCACAAGAGAAGCAGGAAGGCCGCCGACATCACCACCAGCGGCGCCTCATAGCGGCGATGATAGCACCGCCGCCGCAGACAGCCACCAGGCCCAAGAGGATGAATCCCTTCTTCCGCTGACACCTCCAGCCCTCACCGATCTCGATACGGCAGCGTTTGTTGACACGGGTGCTGCCGTCGTCGACGACGACATGCTCCTCTTCAAGTCCGAGCAGCTGTACGCCGAGCTCGTGGGTCTCGTCGAGAAGCAATCGCAAACTGGACCGTCCACTGGCGGGGACGAAGCGTCGACAGCAGCGACGACGCCATCGTCGTCCTCGTCTGGAACAACAAGCAGCTGTCCGACGGTTAGCAGCTCAGGTAGCTGCACCTTGTGGCCCATGGACGTGCATGACACAACGCTGCTGTCCGAAGCCACCACCGGCCTGTTCGACGCTTACGGTGTTGGTGACGCGTTCGGAGCGGCGGCTCTACTCCTTCGTCCAAGACCTGCTGGCCTCATCTTACGACGATGTTACTGCTGCGGTGGCGCAGGATTTGCTGTACTACCAGTAGTGCTAAAGGCAGCATGCATGGCTTGGTCAACTTGGTTACTAGCTCCTTATCGAAAAAAAAAACTTGGTTACTAGCTACAGTTAGTAGGTGCTAGGCAGTGGTTACTGGTTAGACGATCGATGATGACGAGAAGAGACGTCATGATGTCCGTGCATACACTCCCAGACTCCATTGGTCCTTCCTGTCAAGATTACTTGTCGAGAGCAGAAAGCAAATGTTCACCAATTAAAACTTGATTTGTCTCCACTCGAGAAGGCCGAGGTCCTGTCCACGTGGAAAGATTGAATATAGAACCTCTCGATATTCATATTCGACCAATAAAGAAACATTTCAGAACAAAATGAAAACTCTACAAAAATTTGCATGGGCAAAACTCAAAAACTAGGTGAACCTAAAGGTTTCCGGAGCTCACAGAGCCTCCACTCTTGGAAAACACCGGAGCACTGGATAGTTGCAGATTTGCACTATAGAACCCACTGAGGGTTAATTAACCTGATTTGTTTGCAACCACGTTAAACCACATCTTCATTTTTGTTGTAGTCGTCCAATCTTAAATAGCCATCTAGCTAGATCGTGCCCATCCATTCTTTGTTTGTTTTCCCTTTCTCCACTTCTCCGTCGCGTGCCCTAGCTCGTGGCCCACGGCTTCTCAACGAAATCATCTCGCTACTCCATCTCCCATATATATATACGTGGTGCCCACCATTGATGCTTTGAGAAACTATCATCTACATGTATAGCAAAGTACTCCCTCCTCTGAAATCAAACTTTTTTAAGTACTCGATCCCTCTATCTTTGAATAAATCAGTTCCTAAAGTGATCCTCCATGACCATTGACCAGCCAGACTGTGACCTACAATAGGTGGCGTATCCATCATCCAGACTTGGGGTCTGCAACTGCAGCTAGACCATTCTGCTAGCCTACCCCTCAAGCATCCTTTCAGAGTTTGTAACCAAAGACCAAACCTGATATTAACATTAAGGGCAAGTTTGGTAGCGCTCCTAGAACTATACGCTTTGCTCCACCCACAATCTCCGCTCTCTCGAGCCGGATAAGATACATGAAGCCCAAAAAAGTAGCTTTGCTTGGCTGCTCATCCGTGCGCCTAGGTCTTCTCCAAAACGCCCCTATGTGGGCAAAGGCATTGGGGTGCGGGGGTGAGCCAACGAGGAGTGGGGCCGCTGGGGAGCCGGGCACCTGATGGAGGAAGCTTTGGACGGTGGAGGAAACCGGAGCACCGAGAGGCAAGGAGGCCTCCTGAGCGATAATGGTTGAGAAAGCAAAGAAGAAAAGGAAGAAAGAGAATAAAAAAAAGAAAAAGGCATTATGGATACTTCATCCATTTTATCAAAACAGCTTTAATTCCACAACTGTCGCTGGCCTGCTGGTCGTGGAGCCAAAGAAAACAAAAGCTATTCCATCAGCGAAGCAGAGCTATACCAAACAAACCCCTAACTTTTTTTAAACCCTGTCCACAAAAGTATTGAAAATGTGCCCCGCAGCTCAGAGAAATAATCAATATCAATATTTCCTTGCAAGTAGCAAAATAAGCAATTTGCTGTGGAAAGTCAAATTAAGGCCGCTTTGAGATCCATGACGTCGTAGCGAAAGGGATCATCCAACAGATAATAGTACATAACAACGCTAGATGACGATGACACCAGCTTGAACGAGCAGGGATGACATTAGCGCGTCATATTGGTACTGACACTCTGACAGTGTCATGCTTGCATCATGCCGCCGTGGTACCCATTCACCAAGGGAGGGGCTGCGGGCGAGCGACGACCATGTCGAGGGAGCATGTAGTGATGTAAAGAAGAGATCGAGCAGCCTCAAGCAAGAAACCTGCCGACGTTTTGACGCTCCCCTCTTTCATGCCTGCCAAAGCCAAGCGCCGGCACCTACGTTGTAACGGAATTCTACTTGTAACATACCTAGCTACGGCCTTCCGGTAATCCAGAAGGCAGCATACGCACAGCACAATGCATGTCGATCGATGGCAACCAGTTTCATTTCCCATGGCCGATCGTTGTTTCGTTGTCTGGTCGGCAACGGCAAGGGCATTTTCATTCATGGCCGGGCGAGGCGTGTTCTTGAGAACGAATGGCCGCAGCTCCAGGCCTGCAGCCACAACACAAGCCCCGATACGTGAAGGGTAGGGATGAAATCGGATCGGAGCTTTCCCATAACCTAATCTATTTTATTTTATCGGATTCGGAGCGGATCGGATATTATACGGATTCGAATGCGAATACGGACTTTTTAGGACGTCAGAAATGGTACGGATTCAGACCGGTGTCAGAGCAGAAGCGGACTTTTTTTAAGTCGGATGATATGGTACATGTTGTTTTTTATTATGAGAAACAATTCATTAACCAAAATCATAAAGCGGTATACAACTCGAGATAATCACCATCAATCCACCACTTGGATTTAAGAGCTCACAAAATTAAAACAAGTTCTCAGTTTAGATTTAAGAGTATAAAACAAGTCGTGCAGAAAATAAATAAATATTCTTAATTAGTATATATAGTTGCTGCCAATCAGGCACATAGGCAATCACTAGGATTACCATTCCATGTCATGTGAATTAAACCCTATAATTGATGAGCTTTGCTTGTGGGCTAAAATATAATAATGGGATGAGCTAACTTGTATTCTTACCACTTGGACTCCTTAAAAAATTCGGATTATCCTATTATAAGCATCGGATAATCCATGTTTAATTATCGGATAATCCATATCCGCCGGATTTCGTCAATCACATATCCTACGCCACATCCGCATTTAATCGAATTCGGATTATCCGCATCTGCACGGATATTCAAAACACTTCTCCATATTCATAAAATTTGGATTCGGAGCGGATCGGAGCGAAGGATTATCCGTACCACTCTCACCGCCGGTGAAGGGTGTGTGCGCAGCCGTGCAGGAGAGCGTCTTTCCGACGAGGCACACGCTCGTGACTCGTCCATGGAGTCATGGAGAGTACACATGCAGGCCCTCTGTGACGAGGCATGTGCCGGAGCTTCCTTCGGGCCTGGGTATTATTGGGCCGAAAAAACTCCGGGTGCTCACCTCACACGCGTTTGGGCCAACAAAGGTTCGTCAGGTTCAATTTCCAAATGCGGGCCTGTGCGCGGGTAAAGCGCTTCCGCCTGCTCAGGTCAAACCGTCAGTCTCAGAGACTGCTTGGACCCCAAGTTGCTGGCCGCCACGGCACACGAATCCGTGGTCGCCAAGGAAACGTGCGCGTACCGCCGACCGACCACTGCGGTTTCCGCCTTTCCGGGCGAGCTATAAATCTGTCACCGGTCGTCTCCTTGTCATCATCAGCAAACAAAGGCAAACCAGCACGATGCGTCGCGAGGGCCGGCAGCACGGGTGGGTGTTCACCGTCGACCGCAGCCTGGTGGACCAGGAAGGCAAGTACCGCGCTCGCGCGGTGCAGGTCGAGGGCGCGGCGGTGGCCAACGGCGGGTTCGTCAGGGCGCCGCGCAGGCCCACCAACCACTCCAAGCCCGCCGTCGGCCGCGCGTACAAGGGCCAGATCGGCAAGGGATCAGAGGCCGGGTCCGGCAGGGGCGGCAGGCACAAGTTCAAGCACGACGAGGTCAAGATGTACTACCTCGACCTCGAGGGAGCCGACGACGACGGCGCCGTCGATGTGTATGACGTGGACACATGAGGCCAACTGCATTCCCAGGAGGAGAGTACATGAGTGTCGTCTGTTGTTGTTTCATTTTATGACCAGACTTTGTTGTCAGAATCGGAGAACTTAGCTTGCATGCACGTGTTCTGCTTCAAATGTTTGGACCTCAATGTTGTTAATTAAAAGTTAAAATTTCTAGCGGTTGTAAGCTTCCGGCTATCATTTATTTTATGAGTCAATTTCCACAGCGCCATTGAAAATTTTACCTTTTCTCTCATTGTCATTGAATTTTTTGAACTCCTCCCACTGCCATCGGAATAATTTACGCTTCCTTAGTTGCCATTTTTGTCAAAATCGGTTAAGTTTGCTGCTAAGTTGATCTGGAAATGACCATTTTGCCGCTCCTAAGCAAATGATGTGAAAATTAGGAAAAAATCATAATTTTTTCATATGATTTTGGATGAAGATGATTTTTATATAAAAATTGTAGCTCTCGATGAGATCTACAACTTTCTAGTTTTGATTTTTTTTCATTTGAGGTCATTAAGATGCACAAAAAAATTAAACAACGTGCCTTGAAAAAATCATATCTTTCTTATAAGGTGTGAAATGGAGATACTTTTTATATGGAAGTTATAGCTCTTGATGGGATTTACTAATTTATAGTTTTGAGTTTTTTTTATTTAAGATCATTAAGATACTAAAAAAAATAAATATAAAGTTTCGGCAGCATATTAATCGCGTACAAGCGCTTGTCGTCTTGGAAAAATGATCTCACTTAGGCGCCGCCAAATGGGTTAGATTCGAAAATGGTCATTTCCTAATCGCGTACAAGTGCTTTGTCGGCCAATTTTTGTTTTTCCTAATTTTCACATCATTTGCTTGGGAGGGGCAAAATAGTCATTTCCAGATCAATTTAACAGCAAACTTAACGGATTTTAATGGAAATGGTAACGAGGGAAATGTGAATTATTCAGATGGTAGTGAGGAAAGTTTGAATATTTCGATGGCAGTGAGAGAAGGGGTAAAATTTCCAATTACATTAAAGGAATTGGCTCTTATATTTTATCATGCATGATCTGCTCGCAGCCTCTCACCAAGAAATAAAAAAGGACATGCGTATAGATATAAATTGCACATACCATATATTATTATATACTGTAAATGATAGTAACTCTTCTCAGTGGACCCTCTCTAGATAGAAGATAGAACCAACAATTTTTTTAGTGTTTTTTTTTGGCAAAACACAGCATAGACGCAAACATGTCATTTATTATTAAAAAAAAGCGTTCGTTAAATTCTAAATCTAGAAATGTGAGCACCCGCGTTAAGTGGAAGGCTTCAACCCAATGTACAGGTTCCAACGTAAGGTATCTCTATTCAGTTGAGCTATGCTCAGTTTGTAATTCTCAATGCTTCTTGGGACTTGAAATTCTTAAATATTCATATCCTCTAATTTTCAAGTTGTTTTTTTAGGGATTCAAGTTGGTGTTGATAGGCCTTGTTCGCTTCTCTTATAATTCGTACTTTTTAGTTTATTTTTTTAGTCGGACCAGTGTTTTCTCTCTCATAACAAATCAACCGGAATAGTATTTCGGCTTGTTTTTTCAGCGAAGCGAACGGGGCGATAGTGTATAAAAACTACATTCTTGAGTGTGGAAGTAACCATGTGCGAGTTGTTGCATTCTAGTATGAGCTTTAAGCCAATTTTCTAGTGAGCTAGTAGAGGCGCGAAAACATGACTTCTATAGGTTCTTCCTTACAAATATGATATAAATTATAACAAATCTGTAACTAAAATCTTTTTGTCAAATATTTTTCAAAACGGTTCCCGTTCTCTAGAGAGGCTGCTCCACAACAGGAGCCATAACCAGAGTTCTTTTACGAGGAGCCATAACCCTATCAAACTAGGCCTTATTCTTAGTGTGGGTGAATGCTTGTGCTTTCTTGTGTGAAATTTTAGTCTTTCTTCTTGCGAGACCTTGTACAGATGCAAACACTCACACAAGCGTACACTCACCCATACGAACTCATGCACGTACAATCTACCCCTATGAAGCATGTTCAAATAATTGAGTTGCACATGCAAACATCGGTCACCATAGGTGTACACAAGCGTACACTCACCCATATGGACTCAGGCACGTACAACCTACCCCTATGAAGCATGTTCAAATAATTGAGTTGGACAGGCAAACACCAGTCACCATAGGTGCACTCATAACGTACTCGTCGACAGGCACGTTGCCTACCACTGAAAGAATAATATATTGTTAAATCTAGGAAAATATGAACACATGGTCCAAGTCAAGACTTGAACGCTGGTGGGTAGGTTTCCACCACCCGAAACCTAACCATTTGAGCTATTGCTTAGTTTGCAAAATTTCCTATCTTTTGAGATTAATTAACGTATTGATGTTGCATCTCTAGGCTCTGTAGGTATTAAATCGGCTTCTGCTGATTTGTACGACTGATTTATACGAATTAAAGCCGGCTGAATAGCACAAATGAACAGACTATATTGGTGCCGAATGAATTGTTTATATTACATATTGTTTTGATCTATATGTACCTAACGGGGTGATTCAGAGTTTGATTTATGCTCATGCTTCAATCCAGTCATGCACAAGCTACTTGTTTTTCAGTTCCATCTAACAATGATTGTCAGACGTTAAGATTTTGTTTGGATGCAAATCATTTTTGAAGTATTAGAGAAATATTATGGTTTTACAAAATACTTTAGTTTTTAAAAGCTACTAGGTGTTTAGATATAACAAATGCTGCTGTCTCTAAAACCAAAGCTTTTTTTAGAAAAATTGTAGTCTTTTTTAAAACTCCATTTATGATCTTTTTCTGAACCATAGTTTTCTGTCTCTTTGGCATATAAAACCATAGCTCTGTGGTACTACAATTTTCAAACAACCTGTTAGCTGATTGGTTTCTGGGCTGATAAGCCCGGCTGGTGCTGGTTTGTTATGAGAGGAAAACACTGTATCATGGCTGATAAGCCCTGGTTGAAACCAACAAGCAAACAGACTGAAAAACTACATCATAGGTCCTAAGTTTACGACTGTTTCTGGAGAACGAGTAAATTTTAGCAAGTCCGAGTCATGCATCATTTTAGCAAATCGAGTCATGCGTCATGCGTGGCTAAATAATTCATATAGCACAGTTGATCATTACAATGTAATGCTATAAATAGTCTATAAATTATGAGATGAAACTTTATGTTGAGATGGGTCCTTTCATTTATCAACCTAAAACTCATCGTCCTGTTCGTTTGGGCTTGTTTGGCTTATAAGGTATGACTGAAAGTACTGTTGGCTGGTTTGGTGTGAGAGAAAAATATTGTTCGTTGGCTAATAAGCCATAGCTTATAAGCCAAATAAAACCAAACGAACAGACTATGAATGCATTGTAGTACACACCCACTAATTGTTGAATAGTTCACAAAAGAATAGATTGGATCGAAAGGACTTTCCTACTTTGAAATAACAAGAGAACAAAAACAAGCAGAGAAATAGGAATACTAGGCAGCTGAGATGTGACATTGGAACGTGCTTACGTGACTTCAATAAGGAAAGAAATGAAAGGGTGCAACAGAATGCACCACTGAGCCTTATATACGAACTTTACGAAGACAGATAAAACGTTGTATTTTCCGAGGCCCAATATCTGCCACCTCGGCCTGGCCTAACTGTAGCCGACTCGTTGGCAAACGTGAGATGAAAATTGTCAGGGACTCGACTCGGACTTGGACGCCAAGTTGCCGACCCTGACGAAACCGTGACCGGCAAGGAACCGTCCGCGCACCGCCACTCCCGGGCATATAAATCTCACAAGGCAGCCCCTGATCCAGCCGCACACAATCCCCACACAGCAACCAAGGCAAACCAGCACGATGCGTCGCGAGGGCCGGCAGCACGGGTGGGTGTTCACCGTCGACCCCAGCCTGGTCGATGCGGAGGGCAAGCAGTGCCGTTCCCGAGCGGTGCAGATCGAGGGTGCGGCGGCGGCCAACGGCGGCTTCGTCAGGCCGTCGCGGAAGCCCACCAACCACTCCAAGCCCGCCGTCGGCCGCGCGTACAAGGCCCTGATCGGCAAGGGAGAGGCTGGGTCGGGCAGGGGTAGGCACAAGTTCAAGCACGACGAGGCCAAGTTGTACCACCTCTACCTCGAGGGCGCCGACGACGCCTACGCGGATGCGATGCTGGAGTTCGACTGGTAGGCCTACTGACATGGGTGTGTGAATGCGGTGCTGGAGTTCGACAGGCCTCATTGCCAGGAAGTGTAGAGATCGATCGCCGATGTAGGCTTCTCTGTGTCTTCTGAATCTAAATGTGTTTTGTGATGTGAATAAACAGACTTTGTTGTCACGAGAATTTTGGGATTTGGAATGTATCTCGAATCAGAAATCAATCTTGATCCCCAAAGTTCAAATTTGTAAAGTTGATTTTTTTTGAATTTCATAAAGTTGAAATTTTAGCCGTGCGAGTTTCTATTTCTTGGTCCTGGTTATTTTTAAATGTAATAGCTTTCATGCAGTTAAAGACAGTGTTATACTGTTATTTTCTGTCACAGCGCGTATTTATATTGTCAAACAATATGGTATTTTTAGAATCCTCGATTTCAAGACCACATATCCTCGGACTCGGACATCAACAAAAAATACATACACCGTGGATCCTCGAGTCACCTCAACTAAGATGTAAGCCTCTGCCTAAAGTCCTGTCCTGAGTTAGTCCAAATCTCTGAATGTGTGTCTGAATTTGAATCTGAATCTGAATGTGTGTATGAGTTTGAATCTGAATCTGAATGTGTTATGTTGCCAAGCTCTGTTGCTTTAGCATGGGTTGGTTTGGGGACGACAGATGTGCTCGACTAAGCTCTACCGCAGCCAACAGAGACGAACAACATACTCCTATGCCTATTCACTAGAGAAAAGATTGACGGTGTCAGCAAGAGATCGAGAGGAGGAAGGACCGAAGAAGCACAAATGAAGATGTCAGCAAGGGACGACTCAAGTAAGGCAGGATGGAACCATCCCATTTTGTTTTTGGTTGCAAGGAACAGACTAGTGAATATTCACTTTGGAGGGATGCCCTATCCTCCAAACCCCAAACCCCAAACCAAACAACACTGAAAGTAGTACCATCGTACAAATCTTAAGAGCATGTTTGGATTTCTCGGCGTATCGTCTGGAGAAATCTTGAAAGGGAAGATAACGAGCTAGGGAAGGCAAACAGCGACATGGAATCCAAACACGCCTTTAGCGAATATTGCCTCTAAAGGGATGACCCTGTCCCTCCTATACCCCAAACCAAACAGCACTGAAAGTGGTATTGCCCCATCTCATCCGGTCCCCATCCCTGAACCAAAAGCAGTGAATTTGAAATAGCATCCTTGAAGCATGTTGGCAAGCATGTTTTGAATATTCGGTTCGTCCCTTTTGAATCTTCCGCTAATAATAAGGCTGCAAAAGTTAAAACAAGACTCGCAATCACAAGGCCCGTCGCAACAATAGCTACAATAAGGTGACCATACGGAATGCAGCATGATTCCCTCTACTCTTATGCTCAGCTAGCCACAAGGGGCTTGGATCATATAATGATGTTATGGCATGTTCATGTAGGGAGGCTGCAGTTCAGGAGGAGATGCCATGAGGCTTCGAGGCCAAACCCTGAAGGCACAACAAAGGCTTCACCACCCAACACGACAGGCTATTCGGGTATATTCATTGGAGGTTCCAGGTTCTCCACGAGAATCCGCAGGTCTAAATCCTTATCCTCGAACTTCTTCAAAAAAGGGTGATTCTGCAAGAACAGAAACAACAATTCAGCATGTCTTAATCATTTATAAGTGATGCGATTCATTAGAAAGCTAATTAGTCAGGCAATGCTAACCAAGAGTTCTGAAGCAGACATCCGCTGAGCCGGATCTTTTTGTATGCTGCAAAAAGATTATAACAAAAAAAAAAATTGTAAACATTCAGTACAATACACACTTACAGCGTGAAATAGCAATGATAACTCAAAAGCATTTCCTTTTACAACTCTTTTCATGAAAATGAGATGTCAGTAAATGGAAATAAAAAATACATTAGTGATTAGTACACTACACAGGAGAAAATTGACTAGGGTAGGTACAGCCCAGGTTTATTGATCTTGAAAACACTGTCAACATAAGGTCATGGCCATCAATCGCATGTGCTTCAAATTAATTTTGCGGGGGTGGCAATGGACATAACTTATGTTAAAAAAATATATGTTATGAACGTTTTATCATTATTTTTGATAGATTACAACATCTGATAATAAATTAACCATAGACATACAAAATTTTATGACAAAAATGATGAAAAATACATAATGTATTTTTTTACATAGTTATGATGTCCACTATTACCTTCAAGCTCAACTTGTACGTGAGAAACAAAAAGGAAAATATTATTAAGGGGTAGATTGGGCCAATTAAAAATTTGAAATAGTTTGGGGGGATTAAATCAAACTGAAATTTTGTTTGCGGTTATTACGGCTCAGCCTTGAGGGGAGTAATTTGGAATTTTTCCTTTATCTAAAGTGCTATAGTATGTATTTCAAGGGTTAAAGAAGTACCAAACCTTACTTGTATTAAGAGATATAAGATAGGATATATACAACATAGCCTTTCAGTCCCAAGCAAATTGGGGTAAGTTAGAGTTGAAACCCACCAAGAGCCCTAAGTCACGGTTCAGGCACTTCAATAACTGCTTTCCAAGTACTCCTATTTAAACATAGATCTCTAAGTATATCCCAAGCTTTCAAATCTCTTTTTATTGCCTCCCCCATGTCAATTTCGGTCTTACTCTACCTCTCCTTATATTATTAGCTTGGTTTAGAACTCCACAATGCACTGATGCCTTTGGTGGAGGTCTCCTTTAGACATGACCAAACCACCTCAACCGATGTTGGACAAACTTTTCTTCAATTGATGCTACCTCTAGATGATCACGTATATCATCGTTCCGAACTCGGTCCATTCTTGTGTGGTCGTAAATCCATCGCAACATACGCATTTCTGCAACACTCAGTTGTTGAACATGTCGAATCTTTGTAGGCCAACATTCTGCTCCATACAACACAGCCGGTCTAATCGCCAATCTATAGAACTTGCCTTTTAGCTTTTGTGATACCCTTTTGTCACAGAGAATGCTAGAAGCTTGTCGCCACTTGATCCACCCTGCTTTGATTCTATGGCTAACATCCGCATCAATATCTCCATCCCTCTGTAGAATCGATCCCAGATACCGAAAGATATCCTTCTTAGGCACTACTTGACCTTCTAAACTCACATCTCTCTTCTCCTGTACAACTCTGTCAAAGTCGCATCTCATGTATTCGGTTTTAGTTCTGCTCAATCTAAAACCTTTAGACTCAAGGGTCTGCCACCATAACTCTAGCTTCATATTTACTCCCACCTGGCTTTCGTCCACTAACACTACATCATCAACGAACAACATGCACCAATGGAAATCCCCTTGTATGTTCCTAGTAACCTCATCATTACCGAGGCAAAGAGATACGGGCTTAAGGTTGACCCTTGATGAAGTCCAATTTTAATCGAGAAGTAATCTGTGTTACCATCATTTGTTCGAACACTAGTCACAACATTGTTGTACATGTCCTTGATGAGGGTCACATACTTTGATGGGACTTTATGTTTGTCTAAAGACCATCACATAACATTTCTTGGTATCTTGTCATAAGCCTTCTCCAAGTCGATGAAAACCAAGTGAAGGTCCTTCTTTTGCTCTCTAAACCGCTCCATAACCTGTCTTATTAAGAAGATTGCTTCTGTGGTGACCTTCTGGGCATGAAACCAAATTGGTTTGTTGATATCTGCGTCGTTCCTCGCAAGCGCTGCTCGATGACTCTCCCATAACTTCATAGTGTAGCTCATCAACTTAATTCCCCGATAATTAGTACAACTTTGGATATCTCTCTTGTTCTTGTAGATTGGTACCAATATGCTTCTTCTTCACTCCTCAGACATCTTGTTCGATCGAAAAATATTGTTGAACATCTTGGTTAGCTATACTATAGCTATATCCCCAAGACATCTTCACACCTTGATTGGGATACCACCAGGACACATCGCGTTGCCTCATTTCATCCTTTTCAAGGCTTCTCTGACCTCCAATTCTTGAATCCTCCGCACAAAGCGCCTGTTAGTGTCATCAAACGAGTCGTCCAACTGAACGGTGGTGTTCTCGTTCTCACCATTGAACAATTTATCAAAATACTCTTGCCATCTATGTCTGATCTCATCCTCCTTCACCAAGAGCTGTTCCCTCTCATCCTTTATGCACTTGACTTGGTTGAAGTCCCTTGTCTTCCTATCGCGAGCCCAAGCCATCCTATAAATGTCCTTCTCTCCTTCCTTCGTACTCAAACGTCGGTAAAGGTCCTCATAGGTTCGCCCCTTTGCCTCACTCACCGCTCGTTTTGCAGTCTTCTTTGCCACCTTATAGTTCTCTATGTTGTTTGCACACCTGTCATGATACAAGCGCTTATAGCACTCCTTTTCCTTAATAGCCTTTTACATATCTTCATTCCACCACCAAGTGTCTTTCGAGTCGCATCCGCCCCCTTTGTCACTCCAAGCACCTCTGAAGCAACCTTTCAAACGCATGTTGCCATCTTCTCCCACATGCTGTTTGCATCGCCTTCATCATTCCAAGGGCCCTCTTCAATGACCTTTTCCTTAAAGACCTTTGATGCCTCCCCTTCTAATTTCCACCACTTCGTTCTAGCAACCCTAGCTGGTTTGTTCCCAAGAGCTTACACCAGAAAGCGAAAGTCAGCCACCACTAGCTTGTGTTGAGCGACCACACATTCTCCAGGTATCACCTTACAGTCCACGCATGTTCGTTTATCTCTCCTTGTAAGGACAAAGTCGATTTGACTAGAGTACTGGCCGCTACTAAAGGTCACTAAATGGGACTGTCTCTTACGGAAAAAAGTGTTAGCTATCATCAGATCATAAGCTATGGCGAAGTCTAAGACTTCCTCTCCCTCCTGGTTCCTACTACCATATCCGAAACCCCCATGAACCGCCTCGAAACCTGCACTTGATGTACCTACATGGCCATTAAGATCACCTCCTATAAAAAGCTTCTCGCTACTAGGGACAACTCTAACCAAACGATCTAAGTCTTCCCAGAAAAGCCGTTTAGCACTCTCATCATGA